GGAATCCACGTGAAAGTGTAGGTACTTGTCTGATTAGCATAAAAAGTGTGCACAAAATGACCGCATAGCGACAAATTAAACCTCTTTTCATTTATTCGTTGTTTGGTAAACTTACAAGACAATTTCAGAAAATTTGAATTTATCCCAACAAACAAAAAAAATACATATACAAATGTATGTTTTAAAAACTTCCATTAACCAAAATATTTACATGAATTATTAACGAGAAAATATACATTATATAACCTCCCTGAATTAAAAACTTCACATTTTCGAGTGCATTATCGAAGATTCAATATTCTTCAAACCACTCATAAACGTTCATTACTTTAACAGGAACACATTCCACAAAAAGAGAATCTCCAGAAATAAAAAGCAAAAAATGAATTTCTCTGTTTTCATTTGGGCCAATCGGAAAAGAAAAACAGAGTCATAAAAAAGGCCACCGCCCCCTCCCCCCACTCATTCATTGGTTTCTTAGAAGAAAAGTGACGTCTTCTTCGGAGCACATCCTTCTCAGGAGTACTCCAGAGCTATAACTAAAGATGAAAACGAATGAATTATTCAAATCGTGTTGAGCAAGCCTCTTAATTACAATAGCAATGTACATTACGTTGAAGGCTTCAAAGAGGAGCAGACTGTTATTTTTTAACAAATTGCAGTTTGTGCTTACAAATGCTTTTGATTGTGGGTTGATTTTGCAATGTTAAGATCTTAATGGCGCTGGAGAAAACATTTATAACCAAGAAAAGGGAGTAGTTGAAATTTTAACATGTTTGCAACACACACATTCCTTTTATATATACACTCAAGAGCCAAAGCATTATGACCACCCCTACATTTTGCAATGAACTCGCCTGGATGACGTAGGAAGGCACGTAATCAGGTGGAAGTGGTATTTAACTGCTGCTGGAGAGTCAGAAGAATCATTCTTTTCACTTACTTCTGTGTGATAAGAAAGGCTGCGGAACTAAGCGACTTTGATAGAGGGCAGATTGTAATGGCTCGGAACAAGTATTTCGAAACTGCACGACTCGTGGGTTGTTCGCGATCTACAATTGTTAGTACTTATGCAGAGTGGATGAATGACGGTGAAACCAGCAGTAGACGACACGGTGATGGACGTCCACACTCTATCAAAGAAAAAGGTCGTCGGAGACTGTCTCGCATGGTGAGCAAAACCAGAGACAGTGGCTCAGCTGAAAGCCCAATACAATGCAGGGCCAAGTAGAATAGTATCGGAGCACACTGTTCAGAGGACACTGTTGGATATGGGGCTACACAGCAAACGTCCCACTCGTGTGCCTTTACTGACAAAACGTCATCGTCAACTGCGCCTGCGCTGGGCCCGGGAACATCGTGACTGGTCCATGGATCAGTGGGAGAGATTGCCTGGTCAGATGAATCACGGTTTGTCATTCATCACGCCGATAGATACGCCGTCTTCCAGGCGACATTTGCTCCCTCAATGTACAGTAGGTCATACACAGGCCGGTGGTGGCGGTATTATGCTTTGGGGGACGTTCTCTTGGGCGTCTCTGGGACCGTGGTTGTGGTAGAGCAGACCATGAATGCTACAGGGTAACTGAACATCTTTGCGGACCAGTTGCTTTACATCTGTTTTTCCAGCTGGAAATGGAATGTTCCAACAGGACAACGCCCCTTGTCACAAGGCTGAAATTGTGTTGGTGTGGTTCCAGGAACATGATTCTGAATTCCAGTTATTGTCCTGGCCGCCCTAACTCACCGGAAATCGGATGGAATGCCTGGGACGGCAGCTCAGAGTTCAAAGACCACCAATTGCAATATCTCAGCATGGTCATAAAAATGCTACAATCTGTCTCCGTCTGTTGCAATCTGTCTGCATCCATGCCAAGGCGGGTTGAAGGTGTGTTGCGCGCCAAAGGTGGGCCAACTCGTTATTGATAGGTGGTCATAATGTTTTTGGCTCTTGGTGAATATATATATTCTAAAGCAGCAGACAAAAAAAAAAAAAAAATACCAAAATCCGTCGATGATTTGTTTTCTTTTAAAAGTAGTGTAAGTCAATTTTTGGCAAAAATTAGTTAATGATAACAATTGTTGCAATCTGCTATGAGATGAGACTTTTATCTATTAACAGTTTCAAAAAATCATCAAAATTTTCATCATTTTGTCAATATAAATTTACGTAGTTATTGAAATTGCAAATATATTGCAATCGGTTGGCAAATACTCAGCGAGTTCCTTTTTATGTCTTAAGGCAAGCGTTGCATTACCCGGGAGGTGAGTGAACTTGAAGATAAGTTACGGACGCGGAGTAACACTACCCACGCACCGCTCTACGATCATGTTAGGCCGGGACCTACGGTTTAAAGTGGATTCAAAACCATTACAAACAGTCATTGCACCACCAGGACTCGTACCGAAACATGTGGTACCGAGTGCCAGAGCGGTAGGGCCTGCAGGACCAATTCATTATATATATTATAATTAATGAAGTTTATGTCTATTGTAGAGTCGCCAATTTGTCTCCAAATTTCACCGAAATTGGCAGAGATTCTTCTGACATAAACGGAGAATAGCGAATTTCTCATGATCTATGCTCTTATTTATGCTGTTGTACTGCTCATGGAAATTAACATAATATGAAACCACTTAATTTTTTTTTTAAAAGATAAGAAAAATTTTACATTGAAATTTCAGAAAAGAAATATCCCTGTCCAAATCGCATTTTAAGAGTTAAATATACTTAGAAACTTTTTGTTGTCGTCGAATGGAGGATAAGGTGTTTTGTTGATAGTGGATGAATAATGAAACAGGCAGTCATGTTCCACACTTGTCATCATTTAAATAAAGCAGTCTTATGTTACGAAATTTAATAGGCACAGGGGTGAGTTTGGGGGAAAAAGTTTGAGAGAGAAAATTTCATTGAACTTCACACTGGTCTTTATTTTAAAATTTGCATTGCCGCCTGAGAAAATAAAACTATTCAATCAGATGCTAGTGCAGAAGAAAGTTAAGATGCAACCTACATAAATGTGAATCAAAATGTGTTAATAAGTCATATTTTCGGAAGCCGAAAGAATATATATATATATATTTGTTCTTCTTGTTTTTAATTGCGCAACATCCTCATGGGGGAAGGGGTTAAATTTTCTACCTAATGGCAGTATCCGTAACATGAGATGCTGTTTTACTTTTTGCAGGATATGCTTGTCAGCCCTATTGCTTTACAGTCATATTAGACCAGGACCTATGATATAAAGTGAACTTCGAACAAGTACAAATATCTATAGTACCGACACATAGCCTGGACCCTAAATCTGCGGTGCTAAGCGCCGTATATACACTCAAGAGCCAAAACATTATGACCACCCCTACATTTTGCAATGAACACGCCTGGATGACATGGAAGGCACGTGATCAGATGTAAGTGGTATTAAATGGTGATATTAATCCATGCCAAGGCGGGTTGAAGCTGTGTTGAACGCCAAAAGGTGCGCCAACTCGTTATTGACAGGTGGTCATAATGTTTTGGCTCTTGAGTGTATATATATTAAATAAGTACGAAATTAAGTTGAAAGTTCTACTATTTATTTATACAGTTAAAATTATTGATTAAAAAAAAATGCAACTTAAAATTTCACATTAATGTTGTTAAATTTCAAGTTAACATAACCATTAAAAATTTCAGTTAAAATTTAATTGCGAATGATAATTAATTTTTTTCTGTATTAGTGCTATTTTTGGCTTTTCTTCGTCTTGGCATTCTATGTAGTTGCGTAGTAATCCAATTTTTGTAGTTTTTAATTTTTGCATTCCATACTCCATACTACTGTATCCAGAAAGCAATACCAATTTTCAATTTAAAATTCCGGTGCTTATGGAATTTAAATTTTCTTTACTTTTTTTAGGTCGCTGGCACTGTCCTTGACATCTGTGTGAAATTCGACGTCAAAATATTCTATAGTTTTAAGTTAGGCTTGGCTTTTTATGAGACTCTAAAACTGCTTCTGGTGAATTTGGAAATGTCTGATTTAATTGAACAAAGAACTTGCAATAAATTTTGTTTTGCAGAAACGTATAGAATGTTGCAGAAGGCATTCGGTGAGTATTCCTATATCGGAAAGAAATGTTTTACAAGTGGTATAAACAGTTCAAAGAAGGCAGAGAACGCGTTGAAGACGATGCGACCTCAGATCAACCATCAACCTCAACAGTCCAAAAAGTTAAAGATGTGGTGCTTGCAAACCGTCGATTTATAATTAGAGATCATGCTGCTGATGTTGGAATTTCAAATGAATCCGGTCAATTCATTTTGGGCCTCAAACGCGTCAAATCTCGATTAGTACCGAAACAATGAATTTACCAGCTCACACTGCATTGATTCTTCGTGATTTTCGCCAAAATGAAACCTATATCGTTCCATAACCACCGTCTTCACGCCGCACGATTTCTGGTTGCCCTAAACTAAAAAAAGACCACTTCGGGAATATCGTTTTGTGTCGATTGAAGAGATTCAACGTGAATCGCCGCGCACTTTGAAGGCCATCCCCTGCCAATGGCTTTCTGGCATGCACTGAGGATTGAAAAACGTTGACATAATTGCATTGTGTCCGGAAGGGATTGCTTTGAAGGCGATGAAATAAATTTGGAAAAATAAAATAAAGAGGTTTTGAAAAAAAAAATTGGTCTTACTTTTTGGGCACAGTAGTATATATATATATATAATATCTGCGTGTATTTCTGTTTGTTGTTTTTCTTATCCCACTTTGGCTGACCAAGCCCACAGCCCATACGTACTCATGATTGAAGGGGAAGGGAGCAGTTTCTGTTGTGATGGAGCACCCGTAGGTAAAGTCTGACTTTGGCTCCGTGACGCTTTTATAATCATAGGAGACCGGGACCTGCGGCTTAAAGTGGATTCCGAACCACTACAAACATCCATTTCGAACCCGAGCTGTGGCACCAGCGCTAGACACTCGGTCATTCAGGTCCCAAATTTGTGAATGCCAATGGCACGCGGTGCTCCCAGGTGGTAGTACTGACCGCGCCCAATGATGCTTGACTTCGGTGATCTAACGAGAACCGGTACATTCAGCATGGTATGCCGTTGGTTGTATTTCTTAAAATCCATAACACTGATATTCCCTTTTTTTCTAAATTCTGCATTTTCTTTTTTTCCTACGTAACCAAAAATCAAGAAAAAACTCTTTACATTCATTTTAAATAAAGAAAAACCTTAATTTTAATTACCTGTTTTCTTAAGCATTTACTAATTAGTCACGAAAATAATATGATGCGTTAAATAAATTAATTTTGTACGCTCATTAACTTCAAATGAATCGGATTATGGGATCGGAATATCGGAACTCTATTACCTGATATTAATTTTTTTATAAAATTCATTTGATTTTTATCTCTTAAATATTAAAAATTCGGAAAAAACTTCCAGGAAGTTCTTTTATTCCAATTAACAAAAATTATAATTTTTGGTAGCAAATAATTTCCACCTATTCTCTTAATTTAAGGTTTAGTTAATATTTTTTTTTTTTGTCAAATTAAAATTAAAAAATTTATTTATTTAACTAAGAAAGTTTTTTGACGGATATCATATAAATCTCATTATTTTATAGAAACCGAAACTAAATAACTAAGAAGAATATTTTTAATTTGATAAATATTTTGCTTTTATTTTTCACTCTTAAATAAACATACGTCTTTTTTTCAATTCTTACTATTTGTTCACAAACTCGTTATATACACTCATGTCCATAAATTAAGGATAATGAAGTTCAGGCAAAGAAAGAGACAGAAGAAAAACAAATTTGACTTATTTGTAAAGTCTATTTATTAAACAAAAAGGTAAAGAGCAAAACAGATGCTATATGTTTGACATAATTTAATAAAAATTGCAATTTTACTCCTGGAGCAAATTTCAAAAAAGAACCTATTTACAAAAAACAGCATAACATGGTTAGTATGATGGTTAATATGGAGTATGTCTCCCGGACGATGCAATACAGGCCTTACAACGCCTAGGCATGCTGGTATCCAATTATCAATCTGATCTTGGGGAATATTACACCACTCATCAAGCAATGCCCTCCGAAGTTCCGGTTGACAGGTGGGAGGGGGTTGACGGGCTGCAATTCGTCGGCCAAGCATATCCCACACATTTTGATTCAAGTCCGGTGAGTATGCTGGCTAATCCATACGGGTGATATCCTCCAATTGAAGGCATTCGTCTGCAATGTTTGCACGGTGAGGACGGGCGTTGTCATCCATAAACAGAAATTCAGCACACATGGCGCCCCCGAAACAAACGTACATGTTGTTCGAGAATGACATCCCGATAGATGTGGCCTGTCATTTACACTCTGAACATGCAAGTCAGTTCTAAGTATAATTCCTCCCAAACGAGCCATCCTGCACCACCGTAACGGGTGTCGTTCAATGGTGTTTTCTTGGTGCTAACGGGTACCTGGCGCTCTCCATGTGAAAGTCCGGCGAGAATCAGACTGCAAACTAAACCTAGACTTGTCGGAAAACATTACACAAGACCACTGTTGCGGTGTCCACAATGCATGCTGTCTACTCAGGTTAATCGCGGGCGACAGTGAGTTGCGGTAAGTGGAATACATCTGACAGGCCTACGAGCATATAGAACAATATGCCCTAAGCGTCGGTCTTGAAACTGTCGTACCGGTAGCTGAAGAGAGCTGACGAGACAGGTTGATGCTGTGCTCCGTCTATTTCTTTTGGCAGTAACTAAATACCGGTCTTCATTCGGCGTTGTAACTCGGGGGCGACCTGTGCTGTAACATCTACTCCCATTACCATCATCTTGAAATCGTTGCCAAAGCCTGGAGATGACACTCTGGGCGATTCCAAGTTTCTCGGATACTTCCGGCTGGCTACGTCCGCAGTTCAGTCGTCCGATAATTCTACCATGTAAAAAATAATCAAATGCTTCCTTTGTGCCGTAACTATGCGGTTATTGCACTGAAAGGCTTTTAAAGCGCTTGTGAACAATTTTACTTCTTCGCCACCATTCATATATACCCACTCTTACACTCTCGTCATTTGACGTACTATCCGCGCCATCTGGTGGTTTCCTGTATTTGCATATTCTTCTTCAAGATGTGTGTGATAATTCTACTGGTGAAATTTTTTATTTTAATGTTCACTTTCTGTGTGAGATATCCTTAATTTATGGAAAATGAGTATATATCTTCTTGAAATTTTAATCGTTAATAAAATACTGGATGGTACTACAGTTTTACAGTTAATACAGTTTTTTTTAATATTATTCATTAATTAAATTAAATTAATTAATTTTAGATTTTTTTTTAGATTTAAGTTGCATGTATCTGCAATAGAGGGCGCCAGATACCAGAGGAAAATTTTTTAATTAATAATAATTAATAATCTTTTAATTAATAATTAATTTAAAAAAAATTTATATTACTTGTTATTTACTGAAGTCTGAGAAATCGATCTAAATCTGAAAGTAGATCTTATTTTTTGTGGTACTTTAAAAAATAGATTTAAGTTAATTAAAATTTTTCTTTCTTTTTTATTATATGTTATATAAGTTGGTTACCCTTTCAAAATATCTAATCCAGAATAACCTACACAAATATTACAAATATCTTTTTTTTCAGTTAAATAACAAATATATTTTATTTTTCAGTTAAAACAATTTGCCATTTATTTAATATAATTAAAAAAATCAAAAATTTCCATTTATTTATTCAAAAATAACAATTTTCATTTATTTATTTCTTAATTTAAAAATTTGTTCATTTTTTAAAAAATAATTCACTTAGACAACTTCTTTGATAAAGTGAGAATTAAAAGCAGAAATCGGGAGCAGGAAAATGGAAAGTATCCAACTCCTGGGTAGCCTTTGATCTCACATAGGTCATAGCCTATGTAAGACTATACGTACATAGATCATAAACTATGTAAGATTGTACGTACATAGATCATAGCTTATGTAAAATACGCTTATGCCATAGTCTATGTACGTACCAAATTTCAAAGCTACACGAGGAAAACTGTAAATTTGTATAACTGAGCAGCAAACGGAATTTCAATTTTAAAAGTGAAATTCTATTCCCATTTGTAAATAGGCTAATAAGCCTTACAATTTATTTTCAATTTTGCTTGATTTTTTTAAAACATTTTTTTTTATATTTTTTGGTTCAAAATTAACTAATTTTTATCAAAAATTATCCTCATTAACAACATCATTTTTTTTTTCTAAAATTATATCCCGACGAAAATTATCTCTGCTGTATGCATATTATTAAACGATGAATAAAAAAAATAAAAATAAACGTCATAGCCTATTATAAAGGTCATAGCCTATGTAAGACCTTAGGCACATACATCATAGCTGGACGTACATAGGTAATTTATTAAGATTGTACGCACATACGACATAGCCTATGTAAGGCTGGACGTACATAGGTTATAGTACATAGGTATTAGCTTATGTAAGACTTTACGTACATGGTCATATTCATGTACATGCCAAATTCAAAGCTACATCCGGATAATTGTTGATTTACATAAATGAAAACAAATAGAATTTCAATTTTTAAATTGAGCTTTGATGTACATTAGCAAATAATTGTAGCCTTGCAGTTTGCTTCAATTTTGCCAAATTTTATTTAAAAACATGTTAATGATTCAAAATTAACTCATTTTTTATTAAAAATTTACTTTTAAATATAATATTTATATATAATATATATATATATATGTATATATATCTAAAAATATATTCCTACAAAAAATCTTTCCTACATATATATATTATTAAGCGATTTTAAAAAAAAAGTAATATAAAAAAAATTTAAAAGTCAATTCCTATTTTTTTTTTCTCTGTATTTTGCAGAAAGGTCCTTTACAAATAAAAGTTAAATTTTTCTCTTACATCTGGCGCCATCTTTTGTTAGATGCATGCAACTTAAATCTAAAAACTAAACTTAATTAAACTTAATTACTGAATTAATATTTGAAAAAACTGTATTTTTACATCCAGTGTCATCCCCTACAAGTTTAAAAAAATGTATTTGAACTTGAGTGGATGAATAAAAACTATTTTATAAACGATTGAAAATTTGAACGAGATATGTATAGGGAGAGTGTGAATTAATAGTAGGAATTTAATAAAATAAAGCATTATCCAGCATTCATTCAAAGAAGTCGTCATTTTATTTCTATTTTCTTTCAAAAGTGTAATCCCCCATTACAATACGTGTATTGAGAAACGAGATTTTAAAAGATGCCCCTTAAGAATAATAATGCAACTTCGCGTGGAAAATTGCACAAAAAGAAAATTTAATTACTCCATATCTGTAGGCAGCTTGCAGATGGGATTTCAGGGAAATCTCCTTTTCATTAGTAACATAATATTCTCGAATATCAATCATTTTCCGTTCAATTCTTATAACCAGCTGGAAAAAAATCGTATTTAAAAAAGGAATTGAATTTCGAAGAATAAAAGAAGCAATATCATTATATTCTTTTCATCCATTTATAGCATCGAACAAAAAATTAAATTAATAAAAGGTTATTACATAGAATTCTTTTTCAAGATACCGAACTCTCCATTAGCATATGAATGGATGAAATCTTTTGATTCAATTCTTTTTCGGAATGTGAAATTTTGTAATTTTTTTTTTTTTTTTGTGAATTTTTGTAAAATGTCGTTTTATTCTCCTTTAAAAAAGAATAATAAACATAATTATTTTTATTTAAAAAATGTCTTTTGCTGAAATTAATTCCATTAGAATAATTGTGTTAAAAATAGCTGGTTAAAGTTTAGATTCGATTATTTTTGTAGATGTATGCGTAATGTAAATTAGTTGAGTTGCTTCTTTGTAAAAATAGCAGAATATGGATTGAATTTAAAATATTAACATATTTAAGGGTGATTTTGATTTTTTTTTTTATTTGAAATTATTAAGAGTGTAGTCTTTCTTCAGAATTGGAAATTCATAGTACATATTATATTTTGGAATTTTTTTTTCTCACAGGAAGAGTTTTTGCATTTATTTTTTTCAGGCGAGAGGAATTTACGTCTATATAATAAAC